TACATACAAGATCATGTGCATTACATAAATGAGTTGTGATTCAGATACCGGTTCATGTGCATCACATACTCGGGGCTTTGTGTTAGATATTGGTTCTTGTGTATGACATACTTCGATCTTTATACTGTGTGCTAGATGGAAGTTATCTAACGTATATACGTATTGTGCTTTAGATACTAGTTCATGTGTACAATACAATGATTTTAGTTATATGAAATCTTTATGTGTCAGATATTATGGATTACTTCTTAATTATTGTGCGCTACATACTTATTTTTTGTGATTGAGATACTTATTTTGGTGCTTTATATACTATTTTTCGTGTGTATTAGATATTGGTGATTATGCATTAGATACTCGTTATTGGGTGTTTATTCGTATTGTGCATTATATAATTATTCTTGTGTATTATTTATTAGTTTAAGTTGGGTGAAATCCTGATATGTTGATATTAATTACTCCGTAGTTTTTAATTTTGTGTGTTAGATATTGTTCTTTGTGCATTAGACATTGGTTTTTGTGATGAAGATACTTGTTGTAGTTTTTCTTATACATATTGTGTGTTAGATAAAGTTTCTTGTGCGTTAGATATTACTGAAAGACTTGTGCTTGGTGTTCAAATTCATTCCTTATCAATATTTTATCAATATTTAAGAATCATACTCCATGAAAACATGCTTTAGACATTTAGGTAACCTCATACTTAACCTACAAGTTGGTAAGCAACAAGATGTCGATCATCGCCTCAAATGAGCTTTAAATTTCTCTTCCTCAACCCAAAGGTCAAATCTTCGGCCAAGGAAGGTTGAGAACTGATTCCTTGCTTAGAAATTAGTTCTAGGCAGCCTCTTCAAATTGTTAGGTCCTCTAACCAAGAGAATGAAAACAATCCTTAGAATGAGTGTTTTCCGGCGAATTTGTTTCCTAACCTTTCCAGATTTGTTCTAGGTTAGTATCTAACCTTTACATAAATAAAATAACCTTCTCAAGAACATATTATACACTTGAAATAGTGTATAATAGTCCCCTCAATCGTTCATATCATTTAGATAATGAAAAGAAAGGTTATGGATTCAAACTCACTTTAAAGGCAAATCGGTTTCTGCGAGGTTGTGTTTTATTTTGATGATTTGGAAGTCTTCCACTACTCCGTTTGTCGCAAACCGCACCTTCACGGATTATTAGCCTTGAGCAATTTCTTTATTAGGCACCTCAAAAGCCTTATTTGGATTAGTGTAGCACGAGATATGAATCAAACAAGATGATGGACTTCAATTGTGCGGCGAGCAACACTCTCCACCTCTCTTTTGTGATATGAGTTCATATCTTTCTCTAAATGAGTGGGAGTTCGAATGGGGGGTTTGTTGAAGTGTATAAGACCCCTCAATGAATTGATATGGTCTCCATGAGATGCTTTAGACATGGGTGAGTCTCACTTTTGATCTCTTTTGTTGTGCAGCCCCCAAGTCTATTATGTCCATCCCCCTCCCCTATTCTAACATTATTTTACTTACCTTGAAGGTGCTAGGAAGGTGTGGGACTCACCCTTGTGTTACCTAATTATTTTGGGAGCAAAATATCTACCAATACTTCCAAAAATGTAAGAATAGGTCCTAATGTTTTATCTTTTGTCATGAGATGTCTTTTTGTACTCATTCTAATTTATTTAGACCCAGTCAACTTTCTACATCATATTATTGATCTATAATGTGTGTAGGATAATCCTAATAATTTATATGATGTATAAATATAGAAAGAAATCATACTTCCATTATTTAGCTCAATAATGTCAAAGATGGGACAATAGGAGTTTGTATTCTTCTCAAGACATCATTTCACTTATTTGTGACCTCTCCATTCATATTCTTGGACTACAAGACATGTGGGCTACCCACGAGTGGGCCTAGGACGCCATTTTTTAAATACTTGCTATTTTTAGCAGGTTGGGCCTAAAATAACACTTGGCCTGCCCGACCTTCCTTATTTTGTATCGAAAGATTATGTATCTTTGTTAACATAGTATTGTGGTCTTATATTTAATAAGATAACCCGGTTAAGTATTTGGAAGCCCATCATTATAATACGGGCCCAAACGATAGTACGATCCATCATGCATTTCGTAAAACATTTATTGTTTTACAATTGTTTGACAATAGGGAAAACAATACATAAACTTTGAATATTAAATTGAATTTCAAGGGCGTTCGGGTGCGGTGTCACACAAATAAATTAGGAAAAGTGACAAAACTCAATCTCAATACGCATCAAATGCGTGTTGAAATACGAACTTATCATATAGCTAAAAGTATTCTTGAGAATTCTCCACTAGAGAATTCTTATGTAAAATCTAGAGTAATTAGACATATATAATTATAGAAAGCTCTAACCGGAGTATTTAGCTATTGGAAAATCGCCTTCGGGCAGCCCCGGCTGTAGCTCTGCCTCACGGGGACAGCAGGAAGAGGAACTAGTTGGCAGAAATTTTGTTGCTAGCATTTAATAAGGATCTAGAATGATCCTCTAGTAGGTACAAAAGTTTGCACCTACCGGTACACATACACGTTTATAAATAGACTATATTTTTGTTTTTTGTTTTTTTTAATAGCCTATTATTCTTTTTTCTGTGAAGATGTTTTGTTTGTGAACAGGTTATTCACAGACAACAAAAATATACAAATAGTTTTTCTTAAATATATAGCAGTGTTACCTGATGTTTGGGCAGAGAAGTGCATTATGTTGTGTTCTAAGATAGTGCAAAAATAAGGGGTCCATTCTCTTCAAATAAGGACGGACGGATTTTAGTTCTCGTGTGCTCAACTTCTTTTATCATGGAGTACATTCGTCTATTTGCTTGAGTAATTTCTGTGTTGTGTCCATGGTGTGCGTTTTGTGGTTTCGGAGTGTAAGATGACACTATTTATAGATGATTGAAAATTGTAGATTTAGCTTTGTTTGCAATGAGTATGAAACATCCAGTGAATAATAGGCCGAAATGCTCGACTACCTCAATAATTGCTGCTGTTAAACTACGTACGGAGTATTAAATATGTTAAACAGTTGAACATATCTTTTGAATTTAATGAATTTTGATCACAAACGCTATTTTGAGGAAGCTAGGAATCGAAATGTTTTGGGATAAGGGTCAGATAGGGTCTCGAACTTGAAAAAAAAATGTCAAATAAGGCCATATTTAGGATGTTCTGTCCGGCCGACGCCATTTGGGGCGGTTCCCGATGGAATTTTTTGATGAATTTTTTTGAGAATCTTATTCATTAAGTCTAGTTTACTCATATCAAATTTGAACTAAAACTTCAATCAGGAAGGCATTCAAATGAATTCTTGAAGATAACTGTGCAGTTAAAAGCGCAATTATCTTCAAGAATTCATTTGAATGCCTTCCCGATTGAATTGGTAGTTCAAATTTGATATGAGTAAACTAGACTTAATGAATAAGATTCTCAAAAAAAATCATCAAAAAATTCCACCGGGAAACGCCCCAAATGGCGTTAGCCGGACATAGCAGCCTAAATATGGCCTTATTTGACATTTTTTTCGAATTTCGAGGCCCTACCTGACCCTTAATTATCCCAAATGTTTTGGTTGGTAAACATTTTTCATTTAACGAGAACTCTCACTGATCTATATACATCAGAAGCTAAGTCACGAAAAAATGAATAAAAAGTATTTCCTTCAATAATTAATGTGGATCCAAATCTGTCAGACCTGGACCCTTATTATACGACCCGTTTTTTACCCGGTATATTGGGTGGAAAAAGTGACTGAAGTTCCACTTTGATTTGTATATAGTAGGAGACTTCATGTCAGGCCGGCCTGACAGGCTGCTCCGTTCGGCCGAGCCCGTTTAGTCATCTTCCTAGTGGAATTTTTTGATGAAATTTTTTGAGCATGTTCCTCATCAAGTCTAGTTTGTCCATACCAAATTTCAGCTCAAAATTCGATCGGGAAGACATTCAAATCATTTTTTGAAGTTGACTGCAATTTTCTATGTATATTTTGACGCAGTCAACTTCAAAAAATGATTTGAATGCCTTCCGGATCGAATTTTGAGCTGAAATTTGGTATGGACAAACTAGACTTGATAAGAAACATGCTCAAAATATTTCATAAAAAAATTCCACCGGGAAGGTGCCCAAACGGGCTCGGCCGGACGGAGCATCCCGTCAGGCCAGCCTAACATGAAGAGCACTCTATAGTAGGATACACAATGCTTGTGTTATCATGTTATGATAATGGATGAACTCACGAACACGTGGTCTTTTGTTGTTTGCAAATTTTGATTTAAAACTTTATTACAAAATTAAACTTGTCCTATATTCATGTGGATTTTATGGTCATTTAAAATAACATCTTGAAATTAAAGTTCCACTCAAGTCATAATTTACACTACTTTCACCTTTGTATTACTATGGTTTTTTTTTCAAATATATTACTAAAATAAAAACTTATTATAGGTATTGTGGTCATTTAAATTAGGCCGTGATTTAAGGTAGTTTGAGGCGGCAGAGCTGGACGTGGAGAGGTGACATGAGTAAATGACCCTAAATACTCTAGATTGGGGTAGAGAATCTTGAACTGTAAATGATTCTAAATACTCTAGGTTTTGGAGAGTGACCCCAGGGCAGTAAGTGACCCTTAACACTCGATCGTATATATGAATGTGGGGTATAACTTGTGAGCTCACCATTCGAGAAAAGTATATATGGGAAAGGTTGGGTAAAGGCTTAATTCTCTAAAAGACTTACGGTATTAATGAAAATAGCCTAGGTTAGGGAGAGTGACCCCGAGGCAGTAAATGACCCCGAGTTCATGCCCACAATGTGGACCAACATGCCCAACAGCCCAAGCCCTAGACCATTATCCACCAGGCCAGCCCGACCAGTGGGATGTGGCCATTAGCTGCCAAATAGGTTGAGGCCCAGACAGGAACCGCCCAAAAATTCCGGTCCAGACAGGTAAGATTCCAGAAGACGACTATCAACCTGAGTCGCTAAACATTCTTCTTCCTTGAGGTCGTCATTGTAAGCCAGCCTGACGTCGTGTGGTGGGTGTCGTTCGTTGTAGAAGGTCAGTGAGTCCGATTTCAGGCCTTCACGATCCAAACTGTGAGCGGTTTGATTTCCTTCTCGGAACATGTGTGTGATAGTCAATTGTTTCGTGGAGCAAAGGTCTCGGGTCTCTTGGATCCTTTGCAAGCTTTGTAAATCTGTTCTGAGTCAGTTTGTATTTCAAATGATTTATGACCTTTTTCTAGTTGTTATTCTTGTCGCGTGGCTTGCATCTCTGCTTGTAATGGAGTGGAGGCCGTTGTTGGGAAGCTGAATGCTAGTAATAGCCTATTACTAATAGGGTCCCCTTCCTATAACGTAAAATGGCTCCTCCAGTTCTCTTGTGTTGAAAAGCAGCGTCCACACTGAGGCATAGATCGGCATTAGAGGTAATAACCCATTTGACTACTTTTAGGCGGCTGTTCTTGTGTATGTGTGGCATGAGTCCCTGTTCAAATAATTCAATGTCAAATTGTATTTCCTTTCTATTTGTGTTGCAACTTGCAAGAAATCCAGTTGTGTATATGTGCTTTGATATCTCTGATTGTTCCATCAATAGAATGTGGTTTGTTGTTCCAAATTAGTTGGCAGTAGCTTTTCCATGCGTACCACAGAATGATTCCCGGTAGCATTTGCCTTATCATTTTGGGGCTTCATGTATTATCATGTAACTAGTTGTCTATTAGTTACACAGTGAGAATACACAGTACATAAAATAAATGCAGTAAAGTAAATGACACCGGGAATGATAAGTAATTCTGTGTTACAATGCTTATTCTATAATTTCATGTAAATACAGTAACTTGGAATCATTTGGAGTAAATACACAGTGAGTCCATTTGGTAACATTAAAATTGGCTGAATTGGCTTCTTATGCTGAAATTTATGAAGTTCTGGTTGAAGTGACTATGTTGGCTGATTCTGCTGATTAATGAAAAAATATATTTAAAATATTTGTTATTAATAAACAAAATAAAAAATTACATGATAAAATAGCTAAAATGATCCTCTAGTTGTCCAGTTGTGCGTTGCACGGGATGAAAATACAGTGTATTTTTGGCCCTCTGTATTTATATATTGACATTAATTCAGTAATATAATTGTTGTTTCATCATTTTCTCTTTGGTGAAATTATTAGGTAAAAATAGCTCTGGATGAAGTTATATCACAAAATCAAGCCAATTGTGACCTCTGATGAATTTGCAATTAACTTCTTAGTCTATCAATTGATAATTATTTTAAACCTTGAATTAAATAGTATTCCTGCCTAACCCCAAATAACATCCTAACCGTTCAATCAAAACACATCCCTACCATCTTCTCACCATTTCCCCATTTTTTAGCATGTTCATGTATTTCTCCTCTGTTCACCCGTAATCTTTCAAGCGGGCTGACAACCACGACATGGCCATGTCAACACTCAATAGCCAAGCCGCCGGTAACCATGTTCTCTACGATGGCCTCTTCAATTCGGTGTTCTTCAGTTTCTTTACAATTAAATTGAGATAATCCTGCATCTATGGATTTGAATTTCTCATTTTTTCGCCCTATAAGCTATGGTTGTTTTAAGTCTGGATACCTTGGAGCAGTAACAAGCTAATGAAAAAAAGGGGTCCGAGGAAAAGGCTTATCATGGGTGGTGAAGATGCACACTTGAATTTCTTTGGAAGATTTAAAAGTTGCTGCTAACTACTAAAGGAGGACGGGTTCCTTTAATTTATACTATCCTCCGTCTCTTTTTAGTTACAACATGTTGACTTTTTGCACTATTCACATAATCTACTTTGACTACATTTTACACTATTATTTTACGGAAATTATCTTTTTAAAAAAATATTTTTCAATTCATCTCATTACAAATTTTCAAAATCTGATTTTTAATATTTTTTTATTAATTGAGATTAAGATATACTTACGGTCAAATATGTGTGTTGGCAAATGTGCAAAGTTTGACTGTTGCAACTAAAAAAGAACGGAGGAAGTATATAAATAATAAAAGTTGTAATGGATTGTTTACATTGTAGTTGATGTATTACTTTATCTCATATATCGTGAATTTAGATATGAGGTAAGGGTCAGATTAGTACTCAAAGTTGCATAAAAAGGGTCAAATAAGTCCTTATATAGGAGGTTCTGTCTGGCCATCGCCATTTGAAGCGGTTCCCGGTGGAATTTTTTGAGGAAATTTTTTGAGCATCTTATTCATTAAGTCTAGTTTACTCATACCAAATTGCAGCTGAAAAGTTAACTGGGAAGGCATTCAAATGAATTTTTAAAGATAACTGCGCGGTTAAAAACGCAGTTATCTTCAAGAATTCATTTGAATGCCTTCCCGATTGAAGTTTTAGCTAAAATTTTGTATGAGTAAACTAGACTTAATGAATAAGATTCTCAAAAAATTCCATCAAAAAATTCCACCGGGAACCGCCTCAAATGGTGACGGTCGGACAGTAAGGACTTATTTGACCCTTTTTATGCAACTTCGAGTACCAATCTGACCCTTACCTCATTTAGATATACTACGTACCTCTTTATGGTAGACACATTTGGTTCTGCTTAATACGGAGGTGTTGGCTTTGCAATTTCGTGATCGATTAACATATACAACCTTCAAATAGTTTTTAATTTTTTACTTTACACTAGACGAAGTACCTGTGCGATGCACGGGGTATATCTAGAATTATTATGTAACTTTTTTGAACGAATAACTTAATTAAAATTATGTTTTATGATTGTGTGTAATGTGCAATTTGCCATATAAAAAAGTGAAAACAATAATCCTAACTATTACTGATTCGCTAACAATAATCCCAACTATTGATTATTTTGTTATAATCCCAATTATATGGATCGCCTGCCAATAATGGTCTATGACCGGATATTACCTGCTATAAGAGGTGAATTTAAATAGAAATTAAGCGTAAAAATTAAAAGTTAAGATTATTTATAGGGATTGTCTGTTATATCTCTTCTCATCCACTTTGGAAACTATAAGACTTTATTTATAAAGCCAGTCACGTCGAACCATTATAGGGAGACGATCCTTAAAGTTGGAATTATTCTGAAATAATCGATAGTGGAAATTATTATGAGCGGACTACCAATAATTGAGATTATTACTATCAATTTTTCCTAGAGTTAATGTGTGGTAAGCTTAGTTGTATAAGTAGTAGTAGGTGTAAGAAAATGAAATATTAGATCGTATGAAAAACTGAAAGTAAAATTAAAATTAATGATAAGACATAATAACTCTACATGACAATGAAATATTTTGATGGTACAATTATTAGTGAGTTTCATGAAACTTTATAAAATGAAACAATCATATATGTTGACAGTGGACAAAAGAGCTGCGTAAATTTCGGAAAAACACTTTATATAAAACATCATTAGAGGTGATGATAGCACATCCCTTGTCATCATATATAAAAAATTTCAAATCACTCCTTGAGATTACCCTTGACATGACAATGTACAATTGACAATACAAAAAAACAAAGTTGAAAGGAATTCTGCAGAGATTGCCCTCGACTTTTGTTCATCATCATGACAAATGAAAAACTGATTGAGAATTTCCTGCATTGAATTTGAAAGGAATTCTAATAATATTCGGTGGGACCTACAATAGTTGTAGGATAAAAACCTTTTGACAAAAACATCTATCGGATGTAACCTTCGTCTCCAAAACACATTTGTAATGATCAGGCAATTCAAGTCCCATTATAATGTTAAAGTCAAATAGTACTCCTTAAAAATGTATGTGTATAGTATGAATCAAATCCATAAAATTGAGGTGAATGTTAATTGTGTTATGAACTAAATTTGTAATAAAAGAAAAATACAATGATTAATTTATATAAATAATGCAGTTAAATTATTCATGGAGAGGCCTATAAATCTTTTAGAGATTACATGAAATTATTCCACATACTCATTTTATAATTCATGTATTCCACATACTCATTTTATGTTCTTAGTTTTACTCCAAAGCATGAAATTTAAATGATATGAAGCCCCAAAAATATACTCTTTTCATCCCGTGCAACGCACGGGTGGAAATACTAGACTTGAAGAAGACGAGGAGTGCTTCTTAAGCGCTAGGGCTAAAGCTTTGTAACCGTTTACCTCAAAGCTTAGTGGAACAGTGGACTAGAGGAACGAGTTGTTCCTTGAACCACTATAAAAATCCCCGGTGTCATTTACTTTACTGCATTTATTTTCTGTACTTAGGATTCTCACTGTATAATTCTAAAACTTGGAATCTGTGTTCAGCAGATCTTGAAGACCCAAAATGATAAGGCAAATGCTACCGAGAATCATTCTGTGGTACGCATGGAAAAGCTTATCATTCTGTGGTACAAATAAATTCAGCCATACTGTATTTACTCCAAATGATTCTGCTTATCATTTTGCCTTATCTATTAGTGTTCCCTTTGTGAGTTTGCACAACTGGACAAAAGTGACTTTCCATTCTGTTTGAGGGGATGACTTTCAAACAAAAGGATTCCAAAAGTGAACAAAGTGAAGGGCGTGGATTAAATGTGGAAATGACATAAAATTCATAGAACCAAAAGTGGAATTAATTCTTATAGTGCACGAAAAGATAGAAATAGTTTTTTTATCAAGTGATGGCGTTCAGCCGGTCATAATAATAATAAAATAAAGAGATAATTACCCTAGGTTTGACTAATACTCCCACACTTTCTCAATCTATTGCCTAAGTAGTTAGACATAAAATACTAAAATTATTAAATCTAAATGATACTCCCTCAGTCCCACAAAACTTGGCCAATTTGACTTTTCTTGGTCAACTGTAATAAACTTCGGATAATGATTTTAGTTATTATATTTGTATGAAATTATAATTTCTATACTTTGATGAAAGTACTTTTGACACTACACCAACTAAAGTCATCTATAGCGGCTGAAAAACGCTATCATATCATTTATTAGCGTTTTAATAAACGCTATGTCAGAGCATGCTATGGTAGATGTACCGCTTAATATAGCATTTTTGAAACGCTATAAAAAATAAATCAACAATAGCATATTTGAAACGCTATCTATAATATAAGCATCATAGTAAACATATAAATTACATGACACTTTCCAAAACGCTATCAAACAATCATAGCATTTATCATAACTACTCAGCTTTCTAATGGTGTCAATCATAGCACTCCAACTATCCAACCATGTTTCCATTTATTATGAAATTGCAATTCTAAGCTTCCAATAACAAACTCTTTACATTTATATGTGAATTGATACAAAACAAATTAGTAGCATATGGATAATCTCATTGTACATTAGACTATTTACATACTATCTAAAAAGAAACTAACAAGGTAACTTATTTAAATTACATAAAACATAGCTAGGAGGCTGATAATCTTCAATAGTTATCCCTGGAAAAAGAACAAAAAAAACACCAACAATTAGATTCTAGTAATTTGTAACCCAATTTTATAGGTCAAACATGCTGAAAATAATTTTTTGTGGCTAGATACAAAAAATATGAACACACAACAAAAAATTGCACAAACAATTTAAAATTATAGATAGAGTCATGAAGATCA